CGCCAATCCAGCCCGGTTGTGGCCGCCTGTCGCCGCCGCCCGTCGCCGCCGCATTTTAGTTGCAACCCCTAAATTGCGCGAGCCTTACAAGTTGTTATTTCGAATAAGGAATGAAGTCTACCACCCCCCAGCTCCCTAGGAGAATACGATTTACATACGATTGTGCCCCCTCGTTTTTTTCAAATATGAATTCGCATCCCAGCCAAAGCCCTGATCGCCCCCCCTCTCACTGCAGACCATGAATGCTTCGCGCGCAGCACGTTCGTTTATCAAAAATCACAAATGTGCATGAACACTTTGCAAAACCGTGACGAAGTCCACATGCGCGCGTCGTCGCGCGCGCATGCCGAAACCTTCACAATACCCCAGGTATTACAAAAAAAAAAAAAAAAAAAAAAAAAAGCTTCCCCGAAAGGTCACGAAACGGTGTTGCAACATGAATGTTAAAATAAATACGCGCGCTGTGTTGCGAAATACGGCTGAAAAATAAACGAAGCATTTCTCAACTTATTCATCAAACTCGATCAAGCCGGCCATTCGCGCGCGCAGGTCGGAATCATTGGAAGTCCCTTGCGCACGCGCTGAAGAGGATGGGGGCGATCTTTGTCACGAAACGCGGGCCACTCGCGCGCGCCGGCCGCGTGCGCATTTCGAAATCCTTCCAAAAACGTCATCACAAGCACGTGGACATCGTCATCGACATGATCAGCGTCGGCGCGGTTATTGGCCTTGCCGTCGTCATTGTCATCATCGTCACAGCATCGCTACTACCATCGCCACGTCTGCCATTGACGACGTCGCCATGATACCGCGCCCGCCCGAGCCACGGACTCGCAGTGAAATGCCCGCGCGGCAACGTGGCCTGCGAGACGCGTTGGGAAATGCCCTGCGATCATCTCCACCGCCGCCGCGTCGGTCGCGCCAGACTAGCTGTCCGTTTTGCGCGCGACAGCGCGGTCGCAACGATGTGCCAACCATCGCCATGCAACCATTGCAGTGGGTGGGTGGGTGGGATGATTGCGCAACACATGGATTGGACCACGTAGTTTGCACCACATAGATTGCACCGCCTATACCACATCACCAAGATCGCACTACACACGTTGCACCAGATATGCGATTGCACCACATAGCTCCCACCACATAGATTGCACCACATAACCTACACCAAATACAGTGCACCAGACAGAGATTGCACCACATGGCTTGACTCATATAAATATATATGCTTATATATATATATATATATCCATCCATACGTTGATTGAACCACATAACACGTTGCAGCACGTAGCGTACACCACATATATTGAACCACGTAGTTGGCACCACCTGTATGGTCTAAAACAGGTTGCATCACATGACTTACTCAGCTTACGTTGCACCACATAGTTCCCCAACTGAAAAATATTAGGATCGACCCCCCACCCCCACCCACAATTAACAGCCCTCCTTGTCGAATTGCCACTCACATACGATTCTGCCCCAATCGTCCATCCTAGATTTGCATTCGTACCATCCCAAGCAAACCGGTATTTGGCCCCCCCTTCATCCTCTGCAAAATTAGTAAGTATGCGCGCACACTCGTTTATCAAAGATCATCCGTGTTAAAAAAAACTTCTGCGCAAAAATAAAAATGAAAAATGCAAACGCGCGCGTCGTCGAGCGCGCATGGCGAAATATGTTGTCTGGTGTTTAACAAATGTTGCAAGGATTTCAAAATCAAACGTCACGGAAACATACAAAACGAGCATGGTTTCGCAAGAAGGAGTATGAAAAAAACACCTGCGCTCGCGCTTTAACCGATTATTACGAAAACCGTCTGCTTTTCCAAATTCCCACAAAAGTATTACCAAACGGGGTTTTCGCGCGCACATGTCGAAATCATTCGAACGCCCTTGCGCGCGCGCTGTCACAAATACCCTTTTGCAAATAACAGGACGGAATGCACGCGCGAACGTCGTCGCGCGCGCGTGCCGGAATCGCTGGGGGGAAAAAAAAAATCGTTTGGATTTCAAAAACTACCGCCCCAATAACATGTAGACAAAACACACATGGTTTTGCCACATGAGTTTTAACCCAAAAAAATCGCACCTCGGTGAATTATTAAGACACCCGTCGGTTCGCTTCAACGTTGTCATCCAATTCTGCCAAACGGGTTTCTCGCGCCGCATGTCGCGCGGGGGGGCACAATCCGTGTCAGACAATATCACGAGGGCCATTCGCTCGCGTCAGCCGCGGGCGCATGGCCCTGCGGTCAGCGCCACCGCAGCCGCGTCGGTCGCGCCGCACTAGCTGATCACTGCGCGCGCGAACATGCGCGGGTTAGCGCGGCTGCAGAGACGCACCAGCCAACGCCAAGCACTCATCGCAATCGCCGTCGCATAGGCTTTGCAAACCAAGTTGCGGGTGAGTGGGTGGGATGATTGCGCGAGCAGTGAAGCTGACAACTTATTGCGGGCATTGTGAACTGTATCACATGGATTGCACCACGTAACTTACACGATATCTACACTATATACATATGGCACCGCATAGGTTGCACCACCTACCGTGAACCACAATACGCTAGAATACATTGTTTGGGGCCCACGGTGCCAAACATGCGTTGCTTGTTGTGCAAAGCGCCCCCGAACAAAAACAACAAGCAATGACCATAATATGCACAGCGCGACAGAAAAAAAAACGCGACAACAAAAAGCGCATCAAAAATGTGCAATTTTTCTTCCCCGAGAGAAGGCAACCACGGGTCAAGCTGTGGCGGGTCACGCTTGCAGCAACGATCAGGCCAGGAAACTTGTTTACGGCTGCGTGCAATCGTGAAAACCACACATTCTTCCCCTCCTTTTTGGAGAGGGGAAATGGAAGCGGACAGCAAATATTCACCAACTAGCCTCGCCAAACGCGCCGTCGACAAAGCATACCCCCCGCAGGGTTGTCCTGCGAGCGTGGCCGATTTCTGGCAACGGAAACAGGCAAGCTGAACAGGCCTGGATTTTCTACCTTAAGTGGTAACGCGGCGCAAAAAAACTGGGCGGCACTCACACACTCTTCTCTGCCCAGCAGCACTGCAGCAACCACCTGGCAGGCGCAGGCGGCGCGGGCTGGCGCGAATTGTAAACATGATTGTGACGAACGGGCTCTAGCAAGAGCGTCCCAAACTCAACCAAACTGGCAGGCATCCCACGCAACTGGCGGACAGCGCTGCAGCAAGAAAACCTCGGGCGAGGTGGCGACAAGGGGGAAAACAAGATGACGACGACGACGGAGGGGAGAGAGGATGCCGAAACCAAGGTGGGCGAAAGAGACGGACGACGACGCGAGACCCGGAAGAGAGGTTGGGGCCAATCCAGCCAGCCGGCAACCACGCGCCGCATGCAACTGGGAAGCGTGGCACACAGGCCTGCAAAGGTTGCACACCTGGGCGCGCTCGCAGACGCGTGCCGGGCCCGCACGCCGAAGCAGGACGGGGGTGCCGCAAGAGACGAGCAGCGCAGGCAGAGGAAGAGAGACCCAGGACCCGACGAGACGACGAGGGAGACCCGAGGGCGATGTCCAGGGCGGGCCAGCATGGCTAGAGCACCGTGCAGACTCAGAAGGGGGGGCAAGACGAAAGACATGACGAAGAACGACAATGATCCACCGTCGGAAGCCGGGGGAGCAAACCGTCCCGGGCACCCGGGCACAGGAATGCAAACGCAAACTCGTGCGGCCGAGCGGGAGAGAAGAGAAGACCGAGAGGACGAGGGGAGGACGAGGACCAGCCACGACGGAAGGGCAGAGGGAGCACAAACTCCGAGAACGCCAGACGGTGAGCCGGAGGCGCAGAATCAGACGCACACGCACATACACACTAACTAACTAACTAACTAACTAACTAACTAACTAACTAACTAACTAACTAACTAACTGACTAACTATTGAACTAACTAACTAACTAACTAACTAACTAACTAACTAACTAACTAACTAACTAACGAACTAACCAATTAACAAACTGATAAAGCACACGCGCACACACACACACACACACACACACACACACACACACACACACACACACACACACACACACACACACACACGCACACACGCACACGCACGCACGCACGCAACGCACGCACGCACAACACACACACCACACACACACACACACACACACGCACACACACACACACACACACGCACGAACGCACGCACGCACACACACGCACGCACGGACACACCACACACACACACACACACAACACCACAACACAACACACCACACACGCACGCACACACACACACACACACACACACACACACACACACCACGCACGCACGCACACGCACACACACACACACACACACACACACACACACACACACACACACACACACACGCACACGCACACGCACGAACGCACGAACGCACACGCACACACACACACACACGCACACACACACACACACACACACACACACACACACACACGCACGCACACACACGCACACGCACACACACACACACACACACACACACACACACACACACACACACGCACACACACACACACACACACACACACGCACGCACACACACGCACACGCACACACACACACACACACACACACACACACACACACACACACACACACACACACACACACACGCACGCACGCACGCACGCACGCACGCACGCACGCACGCGCGCACACACGGCCAAACATGCTCACATACACCCAGCCACACACACACACACACCTTGAACGATCATTCTAAGCTGGTATGAGCAGCGACAAGACACAAGGCAAAACTGTCACGTGGCGTGACCAAATCGCGCGGGACATAGCGTCTCGTCTTTGGCTATCCGGAAAAAAACACGGTTTTATGATGTGCTCGGCTTCCGAGGGCAGAGTCGCGTCCACCCTCCTCCGCCTACTCCACATCCCTCGTCGTCCTCCTCAGGACTGGGCAGCGCCTGTCTGCTGGCGATGAAAAGGAGAAGCGCTGCCGC